TCCTTAAAATGGAGGTTTTGTTTTGAGTGATTGTAGATCTTATTTAGGAGATACTGTACTTTTCCAAGGCTTCTTGCAATCAACATGGAGTAATGAAGTGAAGAAAATAAAAGGGAGAGAATTATTTAAAAAAACTTTCAAGAACTTAAGTATATTTAAGCACTTTAGAAGCCTCATTTCCATATAAGCTATTGGATGTCCAGGCTTCATGAACCACCAAGAGTGAAAGTAATCACCTGGAGACAATGGAGCACATAGTACAAGTAGATATTTATTTCTGGTACCTACTACCTGCATTCAGAGTGACTGAGATAGGATGGTCCTCCTAGACAGCTGATAGAGAGCATCTGTCTTCAAAATCCCCTGCCTTTTATACAACAGACTTTCATAACCATATCACATAATAACCCATCCTCTATTCTCTTTGGCTCCTTGATATTGCTTGACTACATTTGATAAGGTCGCTCATCAAACTCAATTGTATTTTCTTGAAAGCTGGTGTTGTAGTATTTTTTGCTTTTGTCAAGCATGAGTTAGTAGCCTTGCAGCATCTTTTCTGAGCATGGAACAAATCTCTTCTTCATCTCCTTCCTAATGAAAAAATACAAACCTAGGAAAAATATATAGTCAGAGTATATTTGACACAAATTCTGATCTTTTGTACAAGTCCTGATATAAGCAATTGACATGAAGCAGTCCTCACAAAACCTTAATTAAAAAACTTCTACTGTGCAACGTTTAGCCCAGTGTAATATCTTGTACACACTAAAACTCTCCTAAGTGTTAAATATTCTTATTCAAGATCTCCTGTAGTCTTTAATGAAAATAGGTTTTATGATATAATGTAGTGGTTCTCTGTCTTTGGATACCTGCTAAATGATCCAGTGTAATAAACATCTCTAGACTTAATAAATAACATGTATCTCAAAATACATATTGCTGTCTTTCAAAGTATGTAGTTATCTGTTGTGATTAATGAAGTATAAATTTATTTAAAAGCGTTATTAGTTCATAGTAACATTTGGTCACTCTTGGTGAGCTCATCAGTTCAAATGAGTTTAATATCTCTTTGTAGTTGACTCCCAGATCTGCATATCTAGTCCTAGTGTCTCTCCTGAGCTCTAATCCCATATCACTAATGGCTTACTGGACATTTTCAGCTGGTTGTTTTAGAGGCATTTTAAATTCAATTTGTTCAAAATAGAATTCATTCACTCTCCAAACCCCTACTCTCCTTCCTTCCTTCTCTCTTTTAATTGAGGATGTTATCATACTTCTAGTCACCCAGGTTTACATCCTTGGTGTCACCCTGGAGTCTTTCTTATTTATCTAGTCACTTGCTGCACCTTGTTCTTCTATCTCCACAATATTTCTATATCTTTCCACCGTTTGTAAAACTGCTAACCTAGTTGAGGCCTTCACTACCTCTCACTTAGGTTCCTGCAATAGCCTTCTATGTGTTCCCCTTTTAAGCTTCCCCATACAGCTGCCAAAGTGATTTTCCTAAAGTGTAGCTTTGATCATGTTATCTCCAGCAAACTCCAATGGCTCTATTGCCTTTAGGTCAAAATAGAAATTCCTTTGTCCTGCTTTTAAAGCTCTTTATATCCTGGTCTTTTCCTTCTTTTCCAGTCTTCTTATGCTTTACTCTACTGCTCACACTCTACTTTAGTCCAGCTAGTCTGCCCTACTTGTCATTCAGCACACACTACCTCCTCTCTCTCTGCTTTTACAGTAGGCCATCTCCCATCTTAATTTCTGGTTTCTTTCAAAATGCAACCTTCCAGAAGCTTTTCTTGGTTCTTAAGTTTATAGCATACTCTCTTCCCAAACTATTTTGCATTCATTTTGTGTATATTCTGTATAAACTTATATGTGTATACATGATCTCCATTAAAATGGTAATTTCTTAAGGTTGTGCCTCTATTACTTGTCTTTTTATCTCCAGTGCTTATAGAGATACAAGAATGTGAGTAGTTGTTGATCATTTTCTTAATTATTAGCTACTAATAATACAACTACTAAAATGGTGGCGGGTAGGTTGTCATGTCCTTTGTACCTGAAAGGTTTCGTTGCCTAAGGCATTGAGAGGTTACATGACTTGCGCAGGGTAGGATAGGCAAGATGTTTCAGACTCAGGGCTTAAATCCACGTCTTTTTCATTTGTAGGCCTGCTCTATCCATTATGGCATGCTGCCTCTCAGAGGCTTAAGATATATTTTAAGTGAATCTTGCTTCTTATTTCATTCACTTTCGTCTATGAGAAATGGAAAGGAAATACGTTTGCTGCCATATGTATATATCCTAATAATTAAGTTTACCACTTTAAACTCACTCTCTAAGATACCTGTGAATGAATGAATGAGAAACTTTTTTTTTTAAGCATCTATGTTTATTGTACTAAGAACTGTTCTAAATACTGGGTATACAAATACAAAACCAAAGATAATCCTTTCCCTTAAACGTTTCACTTCTAATGGAGGAAAAATACTTACAGAGGTAGTGGCCAAGGAGAGACACTTAGGTGTATGAGGCCTTAGATTGATACACTCCATCCAAGAACAATGGCAAAGCTGATTTGATTAACATTCTTAGTTCTGGAGTTGTAGGAAAGTAGGATGTATGTGAATAGAAAGGGTGCTTGCTTAGAGGGTGGTGGTTAGTGATTGATGATTGGAGAGGTCATTGTGGAAAAGGTGGACAAGAGGAAGAAGAAGAGTGAATTGAATCATAGTTGGGTATTTCCTAAAATAGTGGTCTGAATGAGGCAGTCACTAATCAGGAGATTGAGGCTGCAGACTGGAACTTCCTCTAGGACGTGGTCTTTGGTGTATGAGACAAGACAGTTCCAATAATTCTTCTTCATAAGCAGGTACGGATTACACATTTGGAGATAGGCAAATTATGAAATCTTTCTTTTTAAATAGTTAAGAGTATTTGGTGTTTGTCATTAGGATAAAGTTTGTTTTTAAGATGGGGAAAAGCTGAGATTATTTTGTAACAATCTATTTTTAAAATTTCAGTTTTTATTTAATGTTTTTGTTTTTTATCACCTTTATTTCCAAATATATCCTTCTTTCCCCTCCCCAGCAAGACATTACTTGTGAGAAAAAATGCAAAAGAAGCTCTACAATCAACCAACATATCATTTGAGCCTAATAGTATATGTAATGGTACACATCCATAGATCCCCTCTACAGTGAAGGGAAAGGGGGTGTGTTTTTCTTATCCTTTCTTTGGAGACAAGTTATAATTACACAGCATTCAGTTTTGGCTCTTTTTATTCATCCTCTGCATATTGTCATTTTGTATATATGTTCCCTGATTCTGCATATTTTACTCCTCATTAGTTCATATTAGTCTTCTCATTCTTCTTGGAAGTCTTCATACTGATCATTTGTTATAGTGCAGTGCTATTCCATTACATCATTCATGTTTCCTAATTTGTTGATCCATTCCCAAATCAGTGGGCATTTACTTTATTTTTAGTTTTTTCCCAATATGCAAAATACTGCTATACCTATTTTGATGTACAAGAAACCTTTATTTTCTAATTTTGACTTCTTTAAGGTATATGCCTAGTACTTATGGTGGAATCTATGGACGTTTGAGACACTTTGTTAACATAATACCAAATTGGTTTCCAGAAAAGCTGGACTAATTCAGTCAGCAGTGTGTTAGTGTGTCTGTCTTTCTGTATCTACTCCTCCTTTGCCATATTGCTGCATATGAGGTACAACTCCAGAGTTATTTTAATTTGCATTTATCTTGTTAGTGATTTGGAACATTATTTCATATGATTTTGTTGTTCAGTTGTTTCAGTCATGTCTGACTCTTTGTGACACCATTTGGGATTTTCTTGGCAAAGATATTGGAATGGTTTGCCATTTCCTTCTCCAGATCACTTTACAGATGAAGAACTGAGGCAAAGAGGGTTAAGTGACTTGCCCAGGGTCACACAGCTAGTAAATGTGTGAGGCCAGGTTTGAATTCAGGTCTTCCTGACTCCAGGCCCAGTGCTCTATCCACTGTCCCACTGAGCTGCCCTGTTTCGTGTGATAGTATTTTTGTAATTCTTCTTTCAATAATTGTTCCTAACCAGAAGCTTTTCCTGGCATATGCTAAGTGCTTTATAACTGCTTTATCTGTTTTTTGACCCCATCCATTAGAGAATGACTCTTAGTCTTAAATAATTCTTCTAGTTTCCTGTTCATCTTGGTATCAGACAGGAAGTGGAAAGGTATAGCAGTCAGGTGTGGGGAATCCCATTGTTCTGTAAAGTTTGCATTCAGTCAAAGGGCTGCACTTGAAGACCTAGAGGGCCACATGTGGCCTCAAGGCCACAGGTTCCTCACCTGGATAGTACATAAAGAGCTAGCCTTGAAACAGGATGACCTGGAGTCAAGTCCTGCCTCTGACATAAACTAGCTGTGTGACTTTTGGCAAGTCTTTTAACCTTTCTGTGCTCTAAGCAATTCTGTAAGAATATGAATGGCTTGCTTATAGCCATGCACCTAGTAGGTTCAGAAGTGTGTGAACCCAGTTCTCTGCTAACTCCAGGTTCATCACTCTTTCCCTTAGGCCACCCCTCCTCCTAAACCAATTAGTACCTTCCAAATTAGGGCATCTAGGTGGTGCAGTGGACAGTGTACCAGGCCTAGAGTTCAGGAAGACCTGAGTTCAAATCCAACTTCAGACACTTATTAGCTGTGTGATCCTGGGCAAGTCACTTCACCCTGTTTACTTCAGTTTCTTCATCTGTAAAATGAGCTGGAGAAGGAAATGGAAAACCAAAAAACTCCCAAAAGGGGTCATGTTGAGTTGGACATGACTGAAAAACAATTAAACAACAATCTTCCAAATTGCCACATTGAATTAGTTTAACTATTATAGGTCACTGATTTTTAGTGAATAATATTAATTAATATAAAGTCATTATTTGGTTTGCTTATGTCAGGATAGGTGGCCTCTTCTAATGTGTCTCTGTGTGTGTTTTTTAGGTGTTTTTGAAGCAGTTCTTCATCGATTGATTACAAACTACATATAGCTATGGATACTTATCAGACTGTTAAAAGCAGTAAAATAAAGACAATGAAGACTACAGTGTCTGTCAAAAAAGTAAGTGTATGGTTATCTTTTTTATTAAATTCGTAGCCTTCTGTGGCCAGAAAAGTCCTTAGATATACAACCTTTTCATTTCACAATTGATATAGTTCGGGACCTAAATGATTGTGATTTCCATATGACTACATAGCTCCTTAGAGGCAAAGCTGGGATTAGAGCTTAGGTGTCTCGCTTTCGAGTATGGTGTACTTTGCCTTATATCACGCAGTTAAACTTTTGGTAAGTTTTTGAGCAAATTCTTTGTAATGCAAAGAATTTATAATTTAACATTGCTGTTGTAATAGGATTCTTCACTTTGGTGTCAGTAACAGATAGATTCATTAAAAATTGATGACTTTATTAAAACTTTAATCAGCCTTTTATTTTCTACACTAATTATGGGGAAGGTTGGAACTCCAAAGGAAATTCAAAACCGTGGACTTTGTTGTTGGTGGGGTTTTTTAAGATTTTAATTCTTCTTTCTCTCAACTTTCTTGGTTCTTTCATGAAAATTAAGGCCATTAATTTGTCACATCCATGATATACTCTCATTTTTACCACATTTGATTGATCATTTTGTTGCTTCTGTCTTCTGATCCTTTCTTCTGTTATAAGGAAGAACTGTCTTATTTTCTGAAGCCAATTTAGCCCACCTATACCTTAGCTCCTGCTACTTATTTTCTGTGATATTTAACTCCCACATCTGTCTCCTGCTTCACTAGTATTTTCTACCTTAAAACAGGAAGGATAATATAGTGAGAAGGTTACTGGATTTAGTCAGAAAGCCTGGGTTCAAGTCTTTGATCTTTCACTTAATAGACTTCTGATTTTGAGTAAGTCACTTCAGTTTCTGAAACTGTTTCCTTTTTTGTAAAACTGAGACAGTTATAATATACAATATTTAGATAATTTTTTATAGTTTGCAGAGCACTTCATAATCATTATTTCAATTTATCCTCATAGCAATTCTGGGAGATAGATTGTGTATGTGTAATCTCATCCATAGCTTATAGATGAGGAATCTTAAGTTTGGAGATGGTGATTTGCCAGAGGTCACACAGCTAGTAAGTGGCAGAGCTGGAACTATAGAAACCCACATATTCTGATTACAAATCTAGCTAGCCCACTAAACCAAAACTGCTTCTACTAGTAGCTCACCATTTCTACAGTTCTGTAGACCATCTAGGTTACTGTGAGTTAGGGTGATGTCTGCTCCAAGCACATGAAGATTTCCCCCAGCAAAATGGGCAGATGAGAATAATTTGTTCTAGCAGCCATGAAAGTGGCTGAATCAGACACTATGGAGAGCTTAGAGCTTGGTTAGACATCAGAGATGCCAAGGTTATTCACTGCATCCCAGGCCAAAGTCAGTTGTCTTGACTTTTGTCTTGCTACTGGACTTCGATGACTCTGGAAGGGAGAGTGAGGCTGGGGACTTACACAACTATGCTTTACTTAAATCCAGCTGACGAATATTCAAGTCAGACATTGCCATGAGATGTCACTGGTCCTCTTCAAAGGCTGAATAACAACAGCAACAACAACAACAACAATAACAAAGCTCTGTATAAATGTTAGATGTTGTTATTCAAACATGCGTGCATTTTCTCTATCCTTAAGTAATTTTCCTAGCTGTGATCCTATTTCTGTTTCTTTTGCTGCAAGTTTTTGGAATCTTTGATCTGTTAAAAATTTTTCCACTTTCAGTCTTCCTGTTCTTAACAAGCCTATTAAGAGAGCTAGCCTTGAAACCAGAAAGACTCTTCTGTTCTGCCTGTGATATGTACTGTCTGTGTGACCTTGGGCAAGTCTCTTTCTCTTGAAAGGTAATTTCATTCAAGAAGCAGTGAGGTGTAATTGTTAGAGTGCTGTCTTTGGCATCAGGAAGCTCTAGGTTCATATTCTGCCTCTGAAACATTCATGTTGTGTGTTTCTGAGGTTACTTCTCAGTGTTTCAGAGAATTATCTAAGACTACAAGGTGCACAACAGTTGGTGATCTGCATTGGCAGAGGGAGTTCCCTTGCCAGGAGTTGTATATTCACTAATGAAATCACAGGTCTGTTAAAAATTACTTTATTATATAATAATAGCTGACAGTTATAGAGCACTTTAAAATTTATAAAGTACACTTACATGCCAGTTATGTCATTTGAGGCTGTCTAAATTTTTTGGCCTTTTCTCAATCATCTTTCTCCTTTTGAATCATTTGACACTATCAATCATCCTTTATTTGATAGGATCATAGAATGTTAGATTTGGAAGCAACTTTGTAGATCCACCCTTCTTTCCTAACATATTAAATTGCTCTGTGATGTCCTCAAGAAATGGACATTTAGTCTCTGCTTGAAATTCTCTGGGGGAAGAGGAATAGGGCTAACCTATTTTAGTTATTAGTAAATTTTTTCTTTATATTGAGCTGTAATGCATAAACTCTTGGAAAAGTCTCTACTTCTTTGATTTCTATGACATTACACTGTCCTGGTTCTTTTACCTCTGTGACATTTTTGTTTCTTTTGCCAGTGGTTTTTCTTCTTATTCCCAACCATTTATTATGATTCCCCAGTATATTGATTTATTTTTGTCTTTCTGCTCTCTCATGTAGAAAGCTTATCTGTTCTTATAATTTCATCTGCCACCTTTTTGTGGATAATTCTTAATTTTGTATTCAATTTGAATGTCCTGCTCTCACCTCAACCTCAATCTGCTCAGAATAAAATTTCTCATATTCTCTTACCAAACCATATTCTCTTCCCGTCATTGATGTCAATAATGCTAGTGTAACAGTCTCTTCGAGTAGAAACTTTGGCATCCCTTTTGACTTTACCTTTTTTTTTTTGTCTACTATATCTGAACTGTCAGAAGTTCTTATTAATTCTTCCTTAGAAATATCTTGAACTTGCTCATTTTTCACTGCCCCTAACATACTTTGTTAATGGCAAGGATTATATTGACTACTTTTGTATATCTAGTAGTCGTCGTCATCATCATCATCATCATCATCATCTTCATTATCATCATCTATTGTTAGATCTATGTAGTACTTGAAGGTTTGCCAGACTCTTCATGTACATTATCTCAGTTCGTCCTTATAACCTTGTGGCTCAGTTACTGTTACTATTTTCGATTTACAGAAAAGGAAACTGAAACTGTGAGAGACCATGTGACTTGTCAGGCCAGGGGAGCATAGGTAGTAAATGTCTGAAGCTTGGATTGGTATCATTGGCTTTTAGTGCAGTGTCAGGCACATAGTAAATGCCTAATAAATGCTCTTTCTGGTTAGTTACCAAGCATTATTAGGTGCTTACTATGTGTCAGGTACTATGCTAAGGGTTGGGAATACAAAGAAAAAAGCAAAAACATGATCCCAGCCCTCACATTCTGTTGGAGGTAACAGCATAGAGAAAACTATGTACATACAAGATATAGATAGCTTAATTGGGAGGCATTCTTGGGGGAAAGGAATTAGGAGTAGGGACCCTGGGAAGGCTCTTTTGTAGAAGGGAGAATTTGAACTTGAAGGAAGCCAGGTGGTAGAGGTCAGTGAGGGAGAACGTTCTAGGCTTGGGAGACAGGCAGTATAAAGGCATGGATTCAGGAGATAAGAGTGTTGTGTGCAATTTGCAGCAAACAAGCTGGTGTTGTTGGATTATAGATTATGTGGAGAGAAATAAAGTAGAAGACTAAAAGGGTAGGAAGTGGCCAAGTTATGAAGGGCTTTAAGAGCCAGAGGATTTTATATCTGATGCTAGAGGTAATAAAAGAGTCACTAGAGTTTATCTAATGGCATGCTGATTATATTTATTTTTTTTTCTTTTTTTTCTTTTGTATTTATTTAGTATTTTATTTTCCCCCAATTACATGTAAAAACAATTTTTAATATTTGTTTTTAAGACTTTGAGTTCCAAATTCTCTCCCTTCTTCCCTTCCACCCCTGCATTGAGAAAATAAGCAATTTGATATAGGTTATACATATGTAGTCATGCAAAACATATCCATAATAGTCATGTTGTGAAAGAAAACAGACAAAAAAAACCTCATGAAAATAAAGTTAAAAAAAGTCTTGGATCACTGAATTGCTGAGAATAGCTAAGTCATTCATAGCTATAATAATAGCTATAATGGCTGTATGTAATCAATTTTCAGATAAAAACTGAACCAGATCAGTACACAGTACATTATTTCACTTTGCATCAGCCCATGCTAGTCTTTTACAGGTTTTTCTGAGAGTATCCTGCTCATCAATATCTTGTAGTACAATAGTATTCCATCATAATCACATACCACAACTTGTTCAGCCATTCCCTAATTGTTGCGTATTCCCTCAATTTCTAATTCTTTACTCCCTGAAAAGAGCTACTATAAATATTTTTGTACATATAGGTCCTTTTCCTTTTTGTTTTTTATTTCTTTTGGGATACAGACCTAGTAGTGGTATTGCTAGGTCAGAGGGTATGCATGATTTTGTAGTCCTTTGGGCATAATTACAAATTGCTCTATAGAATGATTGAAACAGTTCACAACTCCACTAACAGTGCATTGATGTCTCATTTATCCCACATCCCGTCCAACATTTATCATTTACCTTTTGTGTCTTATTAGACAACCTAATAGGTATGAGGTAGTACCTCAGAATTGTTTTAATTTGCATTTCTGCAATCAATAATGAGTTAGAATATTTTTATATGTCTATAGATAGCTTTGATTACTTCATCTGAAAACTGATTATATCTTTTGATTATTTATCAATTGGGGAATGACTTGCTAATTACCTTTGTAAAAACATTTTTAACTTCTTTGGCTTTTTAATTCTGGCTTCATTTTTTCCAGAAATTCTAGTTGACTTTGTGTCCAAGCTGTGTTTTTCTTTAAGGCTTTGCTTTTAGTTGTTTTGGAGCTATTCTCTTCTGGGTTTGTGTCTTGAGCATTTCTGTCACCATAGAGAAAGAGAATGGGAAGAGAAAAAGCATTTATTAAGCACCTAATACGTGCCAGGCTTTGTGCTAAGTACTTTACAAATATTATCTCATTTGGTCCTTACAACAGCCCTGTGAAGTAGGTGCAATGATTATCCCCATTTTACATTTGAGGAAACTGAGGCAAACAGGTTAAGTGACTTGCCCGTGGTCACATAGCTCATAAGCAACTGAGACCTAGTACCATGCCCAGTGCTCTATCCACTGCGTTATTTAAAAACTATTGTTGGCAGCTTTTTATGGTGTAATTCTTTCTTTCTTTCTTCCTTCCTTTTTTTCATTTCTTTCTTTCTTTCATTTCTTTCTTTCTTCCTTTCTTTTGTTTCTTTCTTTCTTTCTTCCTTCCTTCCTTCCTCCTTCCTTCCTTCCTTCCTTCCTTCCTTCCTTCCTTCCTTCCTTCCTTCCTTTCTTTCTTTCTTTCTTTCTTTCTTTCTTTCTTTCTTTCTTTCTTTCTTTCTTTCTCCAATTCTTCTAGCCTACTTCCTTACTTGGACATTTTGTTAGGACCAGGTTCTACATATTTATGGAGGGAATGCATGGGCTGGTCCTGCTACTCTTTTCTTGAGATGTAGAGTGTTGTGTTATTTCAGGATCTCAGGAATAGCTTCAGCCATGGACCCGCAAGCTTTCGCTGCTCCCAGAGTGGACTAATTCAGGACAGTGTCTGTCCAATGTTCCCCTGGTCTGAGTTCTCAAGTTTCTGATTTGGGTTTGCCTCAGAGCAAAAGGCCTGTTGGCTTGCCTTGTTTGGAATTTTTCAATAGACTGTTGTTGGACTTTACTATAAGCTCTGCAGGTTCAAAGTGACAGAATTTTCAAGTTTCCCTTTGATCTGGGATTCCTGATATTATTATTCCTCTGTAAGCATTAACCTGAGCTAGGAGCTAGAAATGGAATTCTACTCTGTTCCTGAAGTCCAAGACACACAGCTGCTTCTTGCTTGCTCTTTGCTTGATACACAGACTCAGGCTGTCACTTGCTTCTTACCCTCGAATGTTACATGTAGCCATAGGTCACCTTTTTAATCAGTCCTGGATCTATGACCTAAAACTGAGTAATAGGAGAAAGAATGCACCTGTTCCTGTACTCTGCACAAGAGTAGGCCCCTCTGTACTGGATCTGGGACCTCTTCTCTCTTGGGTGCCCACACAGCCTTTCCTTATGCTAGAATGCTATATGCATATGGTGCATCCCTGTCTAGACCTAATCTCCAAGGTCCTATCTGTTCTCCTTTTGTCCTCTAAGGTACTAGGGAAGGTGCGTGGGGGAAGACTTTTTGGGAAGGATCATGAGTTCTGTTTTGGACATGTTGAATTTAAGATGCCTACCAGACATCCAGTTTGAGATGTCTGAAAGGCAGTTGAAGATGTGAGATTGAAAGTCAGCAGAGAGAGTCAGGCGGGAAAGGTAGATTTGAGAATCATCAGCATAGCGATGGTAAATGAATCTATGGAAATTGGGGAGATCAGCCATTGAAGTAGTATAAAGGGAGAATAGAAAAGGGCCCGCAACAGAACCCTGAGGGACGACTATGGTGAGATGATCCAGCAAAGGGGACAAGGAACGGTCAGATAAGAGGAGAACAAGGAGAGAGTTATGTCCAGAAAACCTAAAGAGAAGAGGGCATCAAGGAGGAGGGGTCGATAGTGTCAAAGGCTACAGAAAGGTCCAGGAGAATGAGGCTTGAGAAACGGCCATTGAATTCAGCAACTAAGAGATCATTGATAACTTTGGAGAGAGCAGTTTTAGTGGAATGATAAAGTCAGAAACCAGATTGTAAGGGATTTAGAAAAAAAGTGGAAGGAGAGAAAATGGAGAATCCAATATTATAAACAGCCTTTTCAAGGAGTTTAGCTGCAAAGGGCAGAAAAGATATAGGATGATAACAGGGACAGAAAGATCAAGTGAGGGTTTTTTCAGGATGAGAAGACATGGATGGGCGTTTCTATAGGCAATAGGAAAGGATCTAATAGAGAAGGAAAGATCGGAAATAAGCAATAGAATGGGGATGACAGAGGGAGCAATTTGTTGGAGGAGATGGGATGGAATAGGATTGCTTGATCAGGTGGAGGTCTTAGCCTGATAAGATTAAGGCCACTTCATCATGTGAGACAGGGGTGAAGGAGGTTGTAGTGGCAGAAGGCATTTGGGTAAGGGAGATGAAGAAGAGAAAGGGGAGCTTGTGGTGAATGGCCTCAGTTTTTCTGTAAAATGAGATAAGAATTTCATCTGAGAGTGGGGATAGGAGGAACCATGCAAGGTTTGAGGAGGGATGAAAAAATCTTAAAGAGCCACTATGGAGAATGGGATAGTGAATTGATGAGGCAGGTTTAGAAAGAGCAGCAGTAAGGGCCCACTTGAGGTTGTGTAACTTAAATTTGTAATGGACGAGTCAGAACAGTTGCATGATTTTCTCTACTTGCACTCAGTAGCGCCTGTGTAGGAGCAAAGGTGACAAGTAGTGGGAGAGGTCCAAGGCTGAGGCCATAATTGGCAATATGATAAGGGTCAAAGGATTCAAGATAAAAGGTCAGTGTGGAGTTGAACTGGTTCATGAAGAAGTCAGGGAGAAAAGAGGAGAGAGTGGCTAGTGCCCTGGGGATGGCCTGGAAGAGAATAGAAGGGTCAAGCGATCAGAGGTCATAGTGCAGATGAAGACTAAAATTTTGTAAGGGAAGCCAGAGGAGGAGGTGAAAACTCAATAGATTAGTTGAATAAGGGGATTTCAGAATTCTGGAACATGGAGGTGTTACGTTTGTGGGTGATGGCAAGATCGAAGGTTGTCTTTGGGTGTGGCTGAGGTGGGATGGAGTAGCATCTCATGGGAAGTGAATAGGTTGAGGAACTGAGTGATTAGGGTATTTGAGGGAGAGTCAGTATGTATGTTGAAGTCTTCTTCATGAGGGCAGGAGTTGATGAGGAGAGAAAAATTGTAAATGAGGTATCAAACTCACTGAGGAAGGAAAGGGCCCTCTCTGCCTTTCCTAAGATTTTTTTTCAGTCTAGCCAAGAGGAGCCTAAAATATCTAGCTCCAGTTTTCTAGGCAGCTAGAAGAATTTATTCATTATTAAATTATTTATTGTATTATCTCCATTTTATAGTTTTAACTTGCCAGAAGTACATATGATCAGAGCAATAAGTTAGTGACTTTTCTTTAATCTGAATGTTTGATTATATACAAAATTAAAGATGACACTATCTGACTGTGAAATTTGACAAAGCTCACCTGAGGGTCTGGTAGCCAGTGAATATTAGTAGAACCACTGGCTTTTTAATGACTGCTCTTTTTCTAGTCCAATGATAGACTCATGTGCAACCTTAGTGATCATCTGGTTCCACCCATTTATCTTAGTGGTGAGAAAATTGGAGCTTAGAAATATGAAATCTTAACCCAGAGCCACAAAGGCAGAACAGGTACCAGAACCCATAGCTGAAGACTCTTAGTCTAATTTGTCTGAACATACGTAACTCCTTGTCACAATATAATATAAACTCTTTCAGAGCAGAACCTGTTTCTTTTTTTTTTTTTTTAAATCCTCCATGCCCAGCAGAGTGCCTGACATGTATTAGGTGCTTAAAAATTCTAGACTTGGAGTCAACAAGACCTTAGTTCAGATTTCTCCTTCAAGCACTTTCTAGCTGTGTAACCCTGGACAAATCACTTAAATGCTCTCAGCTTCAGTTTCCTCATCTATAAAATGGAGGTAGCGCTTAACTCAAAGGGTTGTGGTGAGGATCAAATGAGATTACACATATGAAAGATTTTGAAGCCTTAAAGCACTATATATGCTAGCTCTTATTGTTATATTGCTTCATACTACAGTTATTTATACATATATCTCTTCTCCTATCCTAGATTGTTAGCTTCTTGAGGGCAGAGATCTTTTTTTTTTCATTATTTCTCCATAGCACTTAGCGTAGAGTACCTTGTACATATTAGATGTTCAATAAATATTTAATAAAGGAATATCTAAAGTCAGAATGCTTTCATGGTTTAGTTTGTTTTAAAATAAAACATATGGTTTCCTTTCAGAGCTTCATTGAAGGTGTACTCCGGTCTATAAAGTCTTTGTTACAGAGCCAAAAGGAATTATGCAGTGTGTCAGCAGAGGAGTGCTTAAAACCAGAGGGACAAGCCAATATGATTGAGGTTTGACATTACTACTTTCTAAACACCCAATTAGATGGACACAAAAAAGGACTGAATATTTTTATTTTTTAAAAGTCATCTCTGTTGAATCTAGCATTAAGTACTTGAATGTTTTTCAAGTAAGACCATAGAAGACTAAATTTGGTCTTTCTTTTAAGAAGTCAGTAAAAGAGAATTCTTTGTAAATCACTGAGAATTGTGCTACTTTTAATATTGTCACCCTGTTGAAAAAATGCTTAAAGGCAATATTCTTTTGCACGATATCTCTTCAAGTGTTTTCAGTTTTAAACTTTATATAAAAAACTGAATTTTTCACTAATAGTAGCAACTGGTTGGGTTGGGGTGTGAACCGGATGGTTGATTTTGTCAGTGTAAAGAACTGCTACTATGGATATTCCTTCCACTGATGTACATTGGCAAACTCTCCAATTTAGAGTTGTAGAGAATTGCTTGGGAGTACTGAAGGACTAAGAAACATTCCCATGGTCACAGAGCAAGAATACACACATACACACATGTACATATGCATATGTACACATACACATATATACATGCATATACACACATACCTAAATACATACATATGCACATAAATATGTACAATATACATACACACATGTGTGCATGTGTGTGTGTCTATGTTTGTATCTGAATTTGCACCCAGGTCTTACTGACCATTGATCCAGTGGGCCATGCTGTGTCTCAGTAACTTAAATAACATAAATAATTCGCCCTTGAAGTAATTATCAAGAAATTTTTCTCTGACTCTTTCCTTAGATAAAGTGAGCAGACTGATACGGAACAAAACCTGGTACATACTCTGTGCCTATGAACAAAGTGGAGGGGAGGCATTACAAGGTTATCGAACTAAGTTATTGATGTTTGGAGGGTCAGCCTAGGAATTTTAAGTGGACTGAGAAAGAAGATTAATGTGATTATTGTATGGAGGACCAGTCAGAAGAGGCAGCCCAATTGTGGGATCCCTCTGGAAAGAGGCAATTCAGAAGTATAGCACTGTGCTTTAGCAGTAAGCAATTTGGGAGAAGAGAGAGCTAGACAAGGTAGGAGGAAAGAGGAAGAAATGAATCTTTTGCTTTATTCATTATTCTGTTGAGGGGGGAGAGTGTGTTCTTTAGAGACTTTTGGTAAAACCATATAGAAATTTAAAGTGCTACCTAGTACAGCCTGGTAACCTGATCCTTTAATGTTCATAAAATAATGATCATCTTAAGATTCTTCTGTTTATATCTAAGATTGTGGTATAAAACATTCAGAATCACATTTGAAAAATCATTATCTTGCAATAAGCAATTCAAATTTTTCTGCTTAATGGGCTTCTGACCTGCTTTTAAGCTCTGCCCCTGTCCTGATCTGACAATTAGGAAAATTTCAGCTTAGCAGAATTTTATTTTTTTTCCAGGTTACCTTTCTAGGTTTCAATGAAGAAACAGACGCTGGTAATATGCAGGTAAAATAAAATGTGGAGTGTGAAAAGGAACCTTTATAAATCATCTCAACAAGCTTCGTGATACCATGAAAATTTTCCTATCATTATAGTATACTGTTATCTCTAATTCTTAAAACTGAAACTTGATTTTAAAAAAATTTTTGAGAGTACCTTGGAAGTTTTGTACTTACACCATGTTCATTTGAGTTTTCTTCTCTTGGAAAAAGTAGTCATAGTAATAGTAATCATAGTCACAAAAGTAATCTGAATTGGGCTGCAGTTCACAAGCTGATTTCTCTACTTCACTTCAAATTATACATGGTGGGAAGGTAAAAAATTATGATTTTTTTAAAATGGTGGTTTTGATAAAATATTTTATCTCCATTTTATGCATTTTGACATTTAAATAGTATAAGTATACAACATTAATTTTATAAGATTATTATCCAATTCTACATTTTTGACCTGATTTAGTTCAGAATAATTTTTGTTAGGGTTACAGTGAAGGGATTGCATGTCACCTAAGTTTTAGCAAAACAATTTAGTATATATGTGCTACATATATATTTTTTTGAATTTACAACTCTGTTTACTGAATTTGGGTTAACTTTGGGCTTTCTTTTATGGTGTCACAGTTGCTCTGAGCTTGAGGAAATATATGTAACCCGTATATGTTTTAGCTTAATGTGTGTGTTATATATGTTTTTATATATACTTGTTTCTGGTATTAGAATGTAAACTCATTGAGAGTAGGGATTGTTTCATTCTTTGTACTTTTATCGCCAGGGTCTATCACCCTGGAATATAGTAAGCACTTAATAAATTCTTGTTGCTTGATTAATTGACCAGGGTCTCATAGCTATTAAGTGTCTCAGGCTAGATTTGAATTGAGGTCTTCCTGACTTTAAGTGTAGTGCTCTCCCCACTACTCTGTGGTGCCTCTCATAAATAATTTTACATGTTGACAACTGTTAGTTCAAATTTATAAACACTAGGTAGTATAGATAAAAATTTAAGTAAAGTTTATTTTTTTAATTCTTTGAGAGTTGGTTTTCCATAGATTTTTTAAACTAGTTTACCTATTATATTTCTATCTGGTAACCAAATAGTCTATATTTTTAAGTTTAGGAGCCAAATTAAGCATTGTCTCATTCTTTTTCTGTGTGTTTTTAAAACTAGGATTTAACTACAATTTCTCTGGAACTCCCAGATCTTCTGAATTCCATCCACTTCTGCAATCTAAGTGAAAATGAAATTATTCTTCTGAAGGATATGAATAAGTCATCAGAAACAAATGCCAACCCTCAAAAACAGGTAAATAAAGTTTTAAAAAATTATTCATTTTCATAAGCGTTTAGCTCTTCCCTTCCATCTAACATATTGAGCAATAAAAAGAAAAAGAAAACTTTTATAAGTTTATAACAAATATGTGTAATTTTTATAACAAATATGTGTAGTAGTAAAACAAATCCCCACATTAGCAATGTGAAAAGAACATATATCACATTACATTATGCATTGCAAGTCCATGAACTCTTTGGCAGGTTTATCATTGTATCAATCACTTCTGATATCTTTCAAAGCTGTTTTTTGTTACAGTGTTGTTGTTATTAGATAAATTGTTCTCCTAGTTTTGCATATTTCATTCTGTTATAAAGTTTATAAAGGTCTTTCAGGTTTCCACTCAAACTGTTCATTTTGTCATTTCTTAAGCAAAATTTATGAAAAAACCTGCTGTAACTATTTTTGTATATATATACATATACACACACACACACGCACACGCACACGCACATAGACACATACATATATTCCTCTTTGTTTTGTCTCTTTGGTTTATAGGCCTAGTAGTGGTCGGGCTGGTTGAAAGGGTATGCACGGTTTAGTGACTTTGGGGGCATAGTGCCAAGTTGCTTTCCATAATGGCCAGGCCAGTTCACAGTTCCACCAACAGTGCATTAATGCGCTATTTTCCCAGAGCTCTTCCATTTTCCTCTTTTGTCATTTTTGCCTGTCTGGTTTAAGTTGTGTTTATTTGATTATTAGTGAATGGTAGTATTTTTTCATATAATATTCACTTGATAGCATGGAATTTTTTCTTTAGTAACTCTAGATTCATATCCTTTGACCATATTCATCTGTTAGGAATGGTTCTTTCTCTTATTCAATTTAAGTTAGTTCTATATATGTCTTTGATATGAGACCTTCATCAGAGAAACGCTGCAAAAAATTTCCCAGGTACCTTTTTCCCTTCTCATTTTAACAGCATTAGTTTTGTTTGTGCAAAATGTTTTTAATTTTATATTATCAAAATTGCCCATGTTAAAGCCTTTCAGTAAATTTTTCTAACATGAATTTTTCACATCAGAATTTATGTTTTTGATCAAACCTATTATGAAACTTTCACATCATGGGTTTTTTATTTTTTTTCTTCAAGATACTCTTTTGCGTTTTTATTATTTACTTGTTTCAGTCATGTCTGATTTCATGATTTCATTTAGCGTTTTCTTGACAGAGATACTGTAGTGGTTTGCCATTTCCTTCTCCGGCCTATTTTAAAGATGAGGAAACTGAGGCAGACAGGATTAAGTGTCTTGCCCAGGGTCACAGAGCTAGCTAGTAAATGTCTGAGGCTGGATTTGAATTCAGGTCTTCCTGACTCCAGGCCTGGCATTCTATCCACTGTGCCGTCTAGCTGCCCAAGATTTTCTTAAGAAAATATTTATAAAGATTTGGAGTTAGTATCAAAGAATAGAAGTATTTTGACCAAAAATAATAAATGAATAGTGTAGTTTATATTAATTTTAAGTAGATGAGAAATTATATGACTATTACTCATTCCCTTGTATGATTTCATCATGTTTTTGAATTTATTGCTCACCTTCTTCAAATATCTGTATATAGGTTATAGGCACTTAACTCCTCATAATGTGTCCTATATTTGCAGTACATATTTTTATCTGTTTTAGGGTTTGTGTTTAACCTCATCTCCCAGATAAAAGGAGTCACATAAAGCAGATGACTAGGAATTTGTAATTTTAGTATAGTATTTTATTTCTAAAATAAACATGGACATTAAAAAAAATTCAGTTAAGAGGATCAGCTCTAAAGAGCTTAGGCAGCAATTACTTATTAACCAAGTATGTGATTTCCTTGGTTTGCATCAGAATGAAGGATTTTATGTCTTGGAAATTAAGATATTTATAAAGAGTATTTTCAAAGATTCCTTTAAAAATTATGCTTGGAGACTATGAAGTTGCATTTTTTATTTGAGATCTGAAAAAAGTCCTCCTTAATAAATTTATAATCTCCTATTTCCTTATTTAGACTCTTTGTTCTTATTTAATCTATAATGCATATGTGTGTGTAAACATAGTGCATACACCTACCTGCACACACACAATTAACTTTAAGATCCATACTTTCTATCATGATAAACATTTTATTCTCTTAAACACTGACGTCTGTGTAAAATCTGTTTTCTTTAATTGACCTAATCTTAGGTATACTTTTAAAGTGGTATATTCTAAACATTGTCATAGACTGTAATAACAGTAACATTTATTAGTCACATAAAGTTGCTATTCAAATATCAGAGAACTGTAGACCTGCCTTGTGAGTTTAAATTTTAAATGAAGGCATAAAAATTTAAAACTTAAAAACTGCTACTTATTGATTTAAAAATTACTCTCCTTTCCAAGTTCATGCTAACCAGCCACATCACTGAACCCTTCACCTTCTTTGGGGTGTTATCTGACCTTCAGGATCCTTTTTATTTTTTCTAAAGTCTTCAGCACCCAGTTTGCAATCTTCCTCTCCATGCCTACCCTTCATCATCCTCATTTGACTTTAACATATCCACTTCACAATTCCCTAACCTTCTGAAATCCAGTGACCACATCCTCCTGTTATCCCACTTGTATCACTTCTTCATGCCTACAGAAGCTGCTCTTTGTCCTCAAAGACTGTCAGTCCCTCAGTCTCCCTGTTTTCTCAGTTTGTCGGCCCTCTTCTGTTTAGTGACCTCTGGGAGCAGCCTGAACCCTTTAGTCAGACAGTGTTTTCAGTAACAGCTCAGGACCTGACCTCCTGCTAAATCACACTCCTTCTCTAGCCTTCTTGTCAAACCCAGTTTTCCACAATTCAACCATTGTAATCTAGCTTGTATTCCTGCTGTTCCACCAAAAGCTGACTTCTAAAGGATCATTGGTGATCCCCTAAATGCAGAGCCTAACTCCTTTTTCTTAGTTTTTCTCCTTGAAGTATGTGGTTGGATAGAGTTCTGGGCTTGGAGTCAGGATGAACTGAGTTCAAATCTGGCTCTGACACTTACTACCTGTGTGACCCTGAGCAGGTCACTTAGCCTCAGTTTCCTCATTTATAGAATGAGTGTAATAATAGCAGCTACCTTCCAGGGTTGTTTTGAGGATCAGATGAGATAATTTTTGTAAAACACCTTGTAACTTTAAAGTGCTGTGTACATACTAGCTATTGATCTCTGCAAGATTTGACATTGAACACCTCTGTTTCAAAAACTGTTTTCTTCTTTGATTTCTATCATGCTATACTTTCCTGGTTTTTTTCTTCCCTCTTTTTACCACTACTTCTTTCTTTCTTCCTCTTTATTGAAATTTTCTAACCTTTCAGTGAAATTCACTTCCATAACTTCAAATTTAATCTTTGTGGATGAAATTCAGATATATATTTCTGATCTGAGCTTTTCTTTTGAACTCCAGATCACTCTCTCTAATTACTTACTGGATCTCAAACCTAATATGTATTAAACTGAAGCAGTTTCAAAAATCTGTTCTTCCTTATGAGTTCACTCTTTCTGTTAATGACACCATTGTTCTCCCAGTTACCTATGTGCAGAATCTCAGCCTGAGTTATTCCTTTAGCTTTCCTCTTATGTCTGATCAGTTGTCAGCTCCTGTCAGTTTTACCTCATCAGTGTCTTTGAGATTTGTCCCTCTCTTTCATCCTAGTAGTGAAGTGGATAGAGTTATGACCTTGAAGTCAGAAAGGCATGAATTTTAATCCTGTTTCAGCCTCTTACTGCTGTGTGACCTAAGGCCAGTTAGTCTCTAGTCCTCAGTTTCCTCATCTGTAAACTGAGGGGTTCGAACTTGGTTACATGTAAGATCCATTGAGTTTTAAATTGTTTTTCCTATACTCCCTATGATTCTTGACTAAGATTAGTTTATATCCTTTTAACTTCTTGCTTGGATGATTGTAGTAATCTTCTAGTGAAGTTTTTCATCTCAATCTTTTTATCTTGCATATTGCTTCCAGAATAATCTTGCAAATGCATAAGTAAATCATCAATGACTTTTCATTGCCAGGCCAAGAAGTTTGTATTTTATTCCATAATCTTATCTATTCATAGATTTAGAACTAGAAAGGACTTCAGAAGCCATCAAATCTGACCCCTCTATTTTACAAATGAGGAAATGGACACCGATCGATGTTAAGTGACTTGCCTAAGGTCATGAAGGTGTTGTTGGAGACAGGATGGAACTGACTGCAGAATCAGAGCTTTTTCCACTATCCATGCTGTCATTGAAGGCCCTTTGTAATTGGGCTTTCCATCTCCCTTTCCAATCATAATTCACGAACTCCCCTTCACATAGTCTGTGCCCAAGACAAACTTGTCTACTGTTTTTTGTCAAACACACCCCAGACTTTTACTGCGTATGTTTATTCATGTTATTCATTTTAACTGGAATGGTTGGGAAATAGACTTTCCCCAGATATTGCAACCATTGGAAATACTACTCATTCTTCAGAGTCTTGTTCAAATATCACTTTTTTATAGTCTGTCTTTCTTCTCAGGGAATTCCTTCCTACTGAACTCTTTCCCCCCCCCCAAATTGACATATCAATTTATTTTGATTTATCAGTAATCACTTCCATATGCTTTTGGGTTTAAAATTTTTCTCCCCCTCCCTCCCCAAAACAGTGCACAATTTGATATAGGCTATACATTTACAGTCATATTAAACATATTTTCACATTAGTAATGTAAGTAAAAATTAAAACCAGTAGGAGGATCCATTAGAAAGAGGAAACAAAACTCAACAGAAGAGAAAAAAAATAGCAATTCGACTTGTATAGTTCTTTCGTTGGATGTGGATAGCATTTTCCATCACAAGGCCTCTGGAGATGTCTTAGATCCTTGTATTGCTGGGAAGGGTTAAGTTTATCAATATTAGTCATCATACAACGTGGCTGTTAATGTGTACAACGTTCTCTTGGTTCTGCTCACTTCACTCAGCATCAGACCATACAAGTCTTTCCAGGTTTTTCTTAAGTCA